GGAATTCTAAATTAAACTATGGTTTGATTGATTAAGGTGCCCTCCTGGCTTCTAATTTTTAATTGGCTTCGAGGATTTTGACTATATGATCATTCTTTTTCATGTATTTTGGTATTTCCACATAATTCTTGCAAGGATTTTGTTCTTTCTAGCGTTTGATATGTTTTGTTGTTTGCTGCAGCTTGTTGTTTCCTTTTATTTATTTATTTTTTTCAGCTGTATATACTTTGTTCTATCGCTTCTGCAAAACAACCAACCACACTTGTTATGGTGCTTGTGTTCTTGAACCTGAAATGTGTAAACTCTAATGTGATTGAGAACACGTCATTAAATGCCGGGATGTTTTCCTAAATTGAATTTGAATCCTCGATTTTGGAAGTGAATAACTCTAAGCAACTCTTTGTGATTTTCAAGAAGAGCTAAGCTAAAACTTGGCATTATATATCACAGCAGAAAGTTGGAGGTTCACACTCAAACTTGACAGTGTTGCGATGAACACAGCATGGAACCTGTTTCAATCAATGCGATTCAGATACCACAGGCCATGTAAACTGATGCCTTTGGGTTCTATGATATGCCTATTGAGCTAATGCACAAAGTACTGGATTTGGATAGGCAAAGTGAAGATAAACATATAATTAATTTCTCATATTCTTGAAGTATGCTTTGGATGTTGGCAAATGATCTCAATGGGCTTCCTTAAAATCAGATTCATTTAGAATTCAAAATCAGGCTCAGTAAAACTTCTATTTTAAATATTTAAGTGGAGTGGATTTTCTGGAAATGGAGTGAAAATAACCGCAGTAAAAGTCAACAAGGAGATTCATACAACAACGGGGTATTAAAAGTGCAGTGGCAAAAAACATTTGAGTTCACCAATTTGCCAAACATATGTACTATTACAGAATAGAATTAAAGGGAAAAAAAAATCTCACCGTATATAGATACACATCCTCATATGCTTATTTTTGTCATCTACTTCTGGTTGAGGAAATACTACAGCAACAGGGTCAATAAAGAAATCAACATGCTCCCTTGGCTTGACTTCAAAGTCTCTCATCTAGTTCCTTGTTGGCAAAAAAAACCATCCTTGAAGAAAGAAGGGATGTAATACGTGTAAATGATTTGAAGATATTAGTTTGTTCATTTTGTTTTCTCTTAGTCCTAGTTAGTAGGCATTTGTAGTGTACTTATATAATACTCGTTCTTATGTATCATACAAAAAACTCCATATATTGCCTAGATTTCAAAAATACTTAGAAAAATACTCATACTTTTCAATTAACTCTATGAAACACGTAATAAATTTTTGTCATGTATTATACTTTGTGAATTACATTTCAATTTTTTTTTAAAAAAAATTAAAATTTAATGATAATGACATGTTCATGAGTTATATACAAAATAAGAGCAACATATAATACAAAATTGTAGATTTATACATATTTAAATAATATGGTAAATTTTTTTAATAAATTTAACATCTCATACATTAAAATAAGTTTAATATTGGCATAGAAGTGGCATATTCTTTGAAAACTATAGTAAATTTTTTTTCAGTTCCATAATTTTCAAATATGTTCATACTATACATGTACAAATTTATATGAGTAATTTTGCCGAACATGCCAAATTTTTAATTGTACTTTTTAAAATAAATCTTGTATAATAGGCATACATATACCTCGTATTATACCCATACCATATTTTACAATCTATGCTCTTAATGCTATAAGCAAAATACGTTGGAACTTAAATGAACAAATTGACTATATATCATCATTTGAGGATCTAGCTTTCAAAAATCACATTGTCCATAGGTTAGGACATGCCCAAGGCTGGTCTAGTGCACACTGCACAGTGCCTTGTAAACATATTTTAACATGCCCTAAGGGTTTAGCACTAATTGGACAAGCTTACCAAATCGGATATTAAACAAATTAACTAGATTTTTAATTAGCGAAGCTCTACCATCTTTAATTATGTCCTTGGGATGAATATTTAAGGGTTGGAAGTTGGACTAATCCAAAATGCACACAAGTTAGCTCAAAATACCACCTGCCCCAACAAAAATTAATGAGCAAGAAATTAAAAAAAAAAAGAAAAAGAAAAAAAAGACCCTTAAAAATGAGAGATTTATGGCTAATTCCATAGATTGTGACAAACTGTGTCTATTAATAAATCTCTTGATTGACTCCATTTCTTGACTAGTTTCTGAATTGTAGTGTCTAAGCAAACTGTGTCTATTACTTATATTAATTGTATTGTTTGGATTAAATGCCTATGAATACAGGCTTCTATCAGTATATGATGAAATATAAACAAAATGTTGTTCTTTTCATTTTCTTTTTCTCGTGGTATCGGTGCAAATGAAGAGATTCTAGCACATTGTTAACGTTTAGTACTAAGTTTATGCTCTTTTTGTTCACTTCAACATTTTGTTCAACATCAGCACTTACTTCAGGTTTGGTCATCACTAATTCAGGGACGAAATCCTACCACTAAATCTCCCGTATGAGTAGTTTCACAAGGACATTCAATTGACTTTGACCTTTCTCTTTCGCAATTGCCAGGCACCCCTACACATTGCGCATCTTGGCCAATAAGAATCCGTTAGTGCTATGATTTTTTGGGAAACCTCGTGATAATGTTCAACTGTCTAACTTCCGTTGATTGGTTCTTGGAGCACTTTAGAAATTTCAGAAGCCAATAGAGCATCGAAAGGAAACTGCAGCGACAGCGTTGCTTGCCAGTTTCAATACTTTTTCCTCTATAAATTAACCATGCACGAAGCTGCAGCCAAGCACATTTCTGCATCTGTTCAACTCATCAATTCACGGTTTCCACCCAATTTGCAACAGTAGTCTACTATCCTAGAGCTGGAAATGGATGTGAAAAGAAAGATTTTGATCATTGGGGGCACTGGAAACATCGGGAAATATTTAGTGGAAGCGAGTGCAAAGGCAGGGCACCCAACGTTTGCATTGGTCCGAGAAAGCACAATATCAGATCCTAAAAGGGCAGTTATCATAGAAGAGTTTCAAGAGTTTGGGAGTCATATTTCTTCATGTGTGCTGTTATTTCTTTCTTCGTTGTTTAAATACTGTTTCAATTTTTTTTCAAGAAATTACAGAAACTGACATGTACGTATGGACTGAACAGGGAGATCTACACAATCATCAGCAGTTGGTAAATGCAATCAAACAAGTTGACATAGTGATCTCTGCAGTCGGGGGAGATTTGGTAGCTCATCAAGTTAAGATTATTGAAGCAATTAAAGAAACTGGAAACATCAAAGTAAGCACAATACAGTGTTACAAATTCTTTCTTGATTTTTAATTTTTTGCGTTTGTCCCTTTGTGAGTTGTGACTTCCATATTCCTAAAGAAGGAGCTGTATTTGGTTTCAGAGATTTTTACCTTCTGAATTTGGGGTTGATGCGGATCGTGCGAACGCTGTTGAGCCTGCTGCTAGCTTAAACAGGACCAAGGTTGAGATCCGCAGAGCTATTGAGGCAGAAGGGATACCTTACACTTATTTAGTATCTAACGGATTTGCTGGTTACTTGAATTATATCCTCAACAACTTTGGAGACTCTTTCTCTGCAAGTCCTCCCAGAGACAAAATTGTCATTCTTGGCGATGGAAATCCAAAAGGTATCCGAAAGGGGCTTGTCTGCTGCATATCTTGATTGGTTTAGTATCATCTTTTAGAGTTCTCAATTTTTTCGTTAATTTCATGTTTCGTTGCAGTTGTTTTCACCAAGGAAGAAGACATTGCTGCGTACACCATCAAAGCAGCAGATGACCCAAGGACTCTGAACAAGAGTGCGTACATTACACCCCCTGCCAACACCATGTCCTACAACGAAATAGTATCATTGTGGGAAAAGAAAATTGGCAAGACCCTCGAAAAGATCTACGTTCCAGGGGACGAAGTTCTTAAAAAAATTCAAGGTCATCTAACAAAAAGAAGAAAGTGCACAAGTTGCTAATTTTTAATACTATAGCATCTACTATTATTAACACCTATTCCATGTTTTAATCAAATTGCTTTCTTTTCTTGTATCTTTCGCAGAGGCTTCAATGCCATTAAAATTGCTCCTGTCTTTGGCATACACATTTTTCGTGAAGGGAGAAATAGCCAACTTTGAGATCAAGGCTTCTTTTGGCATGGAGGCAACGGAGCTCTATCTTGATGTTAAATACACCACACTTGATGAGTACCTCAGCCAGTTTGTATCAAATTAGCTTAGATACTTTCAGATTAGCTCTACCAGATTTTTGCAGCAGTTTCTTTTGTGCTACTAGATTTTGTTCTTCTTCCAGATGAGGATTGTCATGAATGTGATTGAAATAAAATATGCCCTTAATTTGTATCCCGTCTTTTGTGTACTTGGCTTGAATTCTTCCAACTTGAAATCATCATCTGGTTGCCTCTGAGCATCCTTTCTTCATACTTACAACTACATAGTCGAGAAAGTTGGATAACGGTGCTAAATTCCGGACAATGTAAGACAAATCATATACTCCTCGTCTCCTTGGTCCCGGCCTAGGATCCGGAATTTCAGAAAATATTGAGATACACAGGCATAGTTCTGCTCATCTGATTGAGCTCCTTTGAGACCTGAGTTTTCAGGAAGTGGACCATTTCTTATCTAAACAGTTGCCTAAGGCCAAATTACTAAGACTTCCATACAAGAAGCTCATAGAAAACAAATCTGTAGCTATTTTGATGAACTTCCGAATTTGAGTCAAAAGTCTTGTGCTTGTAGATTTGATCTTGATGTTTCTCCACCCTTGTTCAACAGCTTTCATGAGAGTGATGTTTCTCCACAGTCGCAATTGGATTTGGATTTCATTGTTTTTATATATAAATTTGGAGATTGTATGTTATATAAAAAGATCAACATGAAACATGTTTGGAGGTTGTAACCTATTTGTTTAGGAATTAAGATTTCATCACCAAAATAAAAAAGAATATGTCATTACTAAGCTATTAAAGTCATGATTAAGCTTGCCATCACCTAGAAAATGATATATAAAAAATAATTTGAGAGCATGTGTATTCGTTTTGTGCTGATTAAAACAACTAAAAATGAGTTTTGAACCCCGATCAAAAAAAAATTGCAAAAGGTGATCCTCATACATTCCCTGTGGTTAAGCACTTTTTAAGATACACTGTTTGTAGATACACATCCTCACGCTTATTCTTGTCATCTACCTCTGTTGGAGTAAATACTACAGCAAAAAACCATGCTCCTCTGGTATACTAAACAACAAAAAATAGTTAAGATGTTTAGTATATACAGTATGGTTGATTCGGAAGTCCTTTGGTACACTAAACAACAAATGATCAAACATCCGAGTTCATCAATTTCCCAAATGCCAACCATGAATATGTGCAATTTCAAAACTGAACTAAAAAAACCTTCCTCACCACGGACCACTGTATGTCACAGGGATGGAGCTATCATAAGGTATTTTCTTTACCCATTCCCTTTCTTTATAGTAACATATTTTTTTTAACTAAACTTGTTCTTATTATTTCATGCATATAAGTCATATTACCTATTCTTGCAGACAAATCTCCACCCTCTTCATTTTCTTTGTAGATTTACAGGTAGTTATATCTGTATATTTTTGAGGGATTTGCAGGTAGTTATACATTATAATTTGCATTATCGGTAGAAGCATGCGTATAAACTAAAATACCAGACTTAAACTATTACCAGGTTCTCCAAAGTCATCGGCGGCATCTTTCCTCTCCATACTGCTGCCAAGTTCCTCCTCTGTACTTACTGATATTCTCATCCCTTTAGCTGACATATTCGCATCCAAACACTCAAAGATCTGAAATACTGCAAAGAGTATTTAACCATATAACTGGTCGACATCTCACAGAACATAAATGTGACTTAACTTGAATTATTAACCTATTTAGCTTTACATACAGAACAAGACATGTAAGAAAATGTACTGCAGTTACCGGTGACAAGATACTAAGCTGATTTTTACACTTTACACCCTCTAGATGCAAGCAGGCTTTCCCATTGAGATAGTTCATATATATAAAATTGTACGAACCGATCAGATCAACCAAACCCCGAAAAAAAATATGATGGTGAAAAATATCATTCATGCTGATTCTGCACAAGTTCGGTTGCATAAGTATATAAAAGCCAAAGGCAATTGTCTTCAAGAACTGCATTTCACTTAACTGCAATTTCTCTGCTAAAAATCACATCAGACAATTACGTCAGAATTGCTCCCAAACTCGAGTATTCTGCCCCTAGACCGTTGTACAATCAATTTCTGATTTATCCTTGTGCTAATTGTCACTCTTTTGAACAAGATTTCATAAATTAATACAGCTATCAAGATGGAACCTAATTAGAAAAAAATTTCTAATCCAAGATGCATTCTTCTAAAATCAAAAGTGCTAAAAGTCAATCAGATTTTGTGCAAATCAATGGAAAAAAAAAACCATAAAGAATAACGACAGATCACCACCAGCTAGACCAGATGCCATTTCTGCGCCAGTTTTCATGAGAAAACTGTTTACCTAGAATAGCCATGCATAAAAAATTCACCAATGAATAACTTTAACTCCTTCATGGATGGCCTAACAAACCTAGGTGTCTGGGTACGTGTCCGGTGGAAGATGAAGAATGTACTGGGCTTCAGCCCCCGGGCACCAGAACATCTTATGGCAGGAACTTGAGGCAATGAACCCCAACATTTCAATTAAAAGCCCTTCCATCAAAGTCAATATATAAGCCCGGGGTCTCAAACAACGACCAAAGTGTCCTCCACTGTCAGTTTACCAAACACTCATAATACGTAAATACCTATAAGCAACTAAAGCACCATAAATTTTAATTCTACTGAAATATGTAGAACTTAAACTTTTAACAAATACCTCAAGATCCTAAAAAGGTTACCCATTCTTCAAAGTTGGTAAACTCAATATTCAGCCAAGTTCCCATGATTATATAAATCTAATCTTCCCTTAAACTCTTTATTGGTTACATCAGTCGTGAATAGAATGTCCTAAGAAAACAGTCAGCACACACAGCTTTTATAAAAACTCCATTAAGTCAAAAGAATAGAATGTCGCAAGCACTAGATGCACACCTTCGCATTCTCCAAGTTAGTTCACTCTTTGCCTCCCTTTTGCAACACACAAAGGTCCAAAAAATAAAAACGATACAGGCTTTGCAGAGGACTTCAAATATAACTGAAACTCATTCATTTCATTCACATGGTAATAAGCCTCAGCAATGCTTGGCTTCTGGTGTAAATATATCCAAAAACAATTCCAAAAAGGCGTCTGCCACAAGTTTTTAAGCTAACTCTAAATCATCCACCTATTATTTGGTTCCTTATAGCCCTAGAATAGTGCAAAATCTCATGCTTATACAAGTTCCTTTAAGTATGAACAAAAGACAATTATCCAAAGCTGCTGCAATGAAGAATGCCTTTCTATTGTTGAAAGCAAAAATGATGCTTACATATCTACTACTCAAGACCTCGTGCTACATGACTCACAATCAGCCATATAATACATGCACAGAATATCTGATGTCTCAAATGCCTTACAAAATTGGACTCATGATTTTCTCCTCCAAGAATTATGATCACTTAAGACCATGTCATTCTCTAGAGAAATATAATCATACCCTTATTTATTTGCTTTTATATTTATAAATTTTTTTCTTACAGTAGAAAATATTGCATATCTTCTATCTATTGTTTTTGTTCTATTTTCAAAGCAAACAATGCAAAGCTTCTGTATTAGTAAGGTGAATTTGTTCTTAGCCGAAATGAGTTAACTTATGTACAAGCTTAAGCTAACTACGTATCCATAAGCCTCTTCAAATTTGAGGAAAATGGTAACTCTTTCATATATATACACTGGAAAGATATGGGTGACAAAGAACTTAACCAGTGTTGCATTTTGGATGAAGAATCATGTCAGTTACTCAAGAAGGCACTGCAGACTTAAATGGAGTCACTTGATTGAATCAAGTGACAAATGACAGAGTGAGCAACACAAGGTGAATAAGACATGTAAACAAGGAATAAACCATACTAATCTGTGACCTAACAATGCACTAATTACAGATAAATGGATGAAGCGGAAGATCAAAAGCAAAAAAGATTCCAGTTACTAGACTCAGATGTTAATAACCTATTGGCAGGATTATTGACATCTTATCCTTCTGTTTGTCTGCCAACTGAAATCTTAATCAAGTTTAGAACCCAAAAATCATAAACGTTTTTCCTAGACTAAGTTCAACAGATGGAAACTGTGTCGACTGCATTATTCTCTCAGTTTTCTCTCAAATGAAGGCTATTAGCATTACACTTCAGTTCCAAACACTTCTCAAGTTTAAAACAGTAAACAACTTTAGTTTGTTTGTTTTTCCCCCCTCCTTAATACCTAACACATTTGAACAACACAATATTTCTGTACCTACCTGCTGCATAGCTCCCCACTTCTCCAAACTTCATAAGTTTTATCTATTAGTCGCCATCCCATTCGCTGTTTACTTATGCTTGATAATTCAATATCTCTTTGTTTAGAAACCATTTCCATAACACTGCTGCTTTTCATCTTACACCAAAACATTTACAGCTGCAAACACATTATATAGGCAATTCAAGTCCACTACAGTCTTGTTCACTTACAAATATCCCAAGTTACCAAACTTGGCCAGAAATTAAGAATTCCACAAAACCAACTTCAATAAACCAATTCAACAGTCCTGATTCTTAAGTCAGCATGAATTTTCTTTATGTCTAAAATTTCCTTATTTTGACATTGAAAACTGGAAAGAACTAAAACCAGCAGAAGTTATTACCCTTTCAAGAATTGACCTGGCTTCTTTTGTTGCACTCTTTTCCCTCTCCGCATAACAAAGAAAGCATTTTTTTTTCCAATCACCATATTGCCCATACTAACCCAAATAATGAAATTCAAATTTTTCAAAAACCCGGATGCAAATTCCATAAATAAATGCGAATGAAGTACGAAATAACAAAACAGAAAATTAAAAAAAAATAACTTTCTGCATAGGAGGGGAAGGGAGGCCTTACTGATGGGCAGGAGATAGGAAGCCGGAGTGGGAATGATTGAGGAGAGAAGAAGGGGCGTTGTTGTCAAAACGATGAATTCTGATCATTCACAGCAGAGTGCTGCTCTCAGGGCTTCAGCTACTCCTTGGTTTTTAGTTTCACTCTGACTACTTCTTCTGCTCCTCTTTGTGTTGTCCGAAGCATTTCAGCCATTTAAGTTCCAGTATTTATCTCCCCTCCTTCCCCGCCCCCCCCCCGGGGGGCTTTCTTCTCATCCGGTGGCGGGGCCACCCCTTCAAATTTGGGTATAAACGAGTTTTTATACTACCCAGCTCTCTCCCACTTAAGCCCTGTTTGTTACGAGTTTTTTTAAAACTTTAACTGTATTAATCTAAAAAAAATTTTCAAAATTTTTAAACTATACACTTCAAAATATTCAAAAATTTATGCACTTTAAAATTTTTTTAAAAACTTCTACAGTAAATTACAATAAAATTTTAGATAAATACCCAAAAAACTCACTTGCTAAACAGGTTACTAAAAGCATACTACTGTTTAATTCTTAAATTTTTCAGTCCTTATAGCCAAACTCTAACCCTAGAATTATTCTAGATATTAGTGAAGGGATAATGCAGTTCCTTACTTAGCATTAGCATAACCGGGAATCTTCACAGTTTATTCTTGGCATGAAGCAATTTTATTTGTTTGGTTGAAGGTAGATTTTAAATCTTTAAAGGGCGCGCGCGCGCGGGGGGGGGAGATGGCGAATGAGTCAAATGACTTGACTCAACTCTAGTAAATTCTTTTTCTATTTTTCGTAGTGCACATCTGAATGCATCACACGTGTTTTTATTTATTTACAAGAGTTTGGATTAGTCAAATTTAAAATGATCACATCTCATTCTAATAAATGAAACATATGTTATTCATCTACATATGTATTGTGAAAAATGAAGAGAGATTTCATTAGAGAGGAGTACAAATGAGATATCTTGAATTCGAAACCTTCTACTTACACTTTTAAAAAAATTCTTAAAGTCACCCGACTGATAAGTTGCAATTTTTGTCATTAAATTTATGAATATTTTCTCCTTGATTTTAGTCAATATTGCATTAATGGATGGACTCTACTTATATTTAGTAATCGGTGATAATTGTAAAGATCTAGAGCAAAAAGAAATTAAAAATGTAATTTTTAATGGAACTTCTATGCAAATTAGTGTGGACCGTCAAAGTTTAACCTTGCATGTTTGGGAAATTTGGGATTTGGCACATGATCTCCAATTTTAAATTGAGGTCGCAATAATCAAAACTTTTGACCGAATGATAGTCTTCTACTTTTATTAGGATACTAATTTATCTATCTTTTACCACATCTTGAAAAAGATTGGTTAATTTTATTAGGATGTAGACTTTGTTTCGGAGTAGTAGTTGTAGCAGAGACAGGGAACGATGCAACAAAACATCATCGTTGTCACTCTTTTCTTTCGTGAAAAAGCCAAATTAACGCGAGACTTTTGCTTTTCTTGTCAGAAGAAATAAGAAACAATGTTTTACTTTTCTTTTCCTGTGGATTTCATCACATATTTGAAGAATGGCCGTGGAAATTACTTCTACTATTTCCCGTGCGATTTCTTCGGTGGAGATGAACTAAGCTTTTCATTCTAATCAAGAAATAACGGAGGATTTGATTCAACTAAAATTATGAGAACAAATTGATTACATTTATTTCTTTTATTTAGTGGTATTTATATGTTCCCTGGTTTAATTTCTTGTGCCTATTATGTTATTTGAATATCAAGGGTCCGGTATTTGAATTAACCTAATAACCTAAAACTAATTAGTGCAGTTAAATCTGTAATTGTTTAATTGCTTTAAACTAGTGATAATTAACATGATTGGATTTATGTTAGAGGAACATATGGGTTATTTAAAATAACTCATAACTCTCATAGCATGTTATTTGGTTAGAACATGATTTCTCTAATTGTTAAAGCAATTGAAAAATAGAACTCTAAGGTTGTACTTAGGGTTATTTCTTGATTAGAGCAGTGGTTAATGGTCGTACTTTAATCACCAATACAGTAAGAAGAAGTTGATTGCCATCACTTATTTGACAGTTATAACTTGTTTATCAGTGAGTAAATGAAATTATTATTGCATCAGTGATAAATTGAGTGAACCATCTCTGAAGTCATTTCTTGGCTAGAGTTTGTTTATTATTGATTCAATTTCAATTGATTATAATTTAGTCCTTTTACCTGAGTTGTTTAATATTCCCAATTTTATAAAAATTCCCTGTACTCTGGGCTCTAGAAGAAATGAAGTTTTTCTAGTCCGTGTAGATTCGACCTTGCTCACCGCTATATACAAAATTTATATTTTACTCGAGTAAGTATTTATTATTATACAGGCTCGACACATGTCACGACGAAACTCCATTTCCGCAAATCCTGTCTCATGTCCTTGATCACTTTTAATATGTAAAACCATATGCATGGTCCTAATTCAAAATAGTAAGGTATAGCATAGAACAACTCAATGGAAAGCTTATGATTTACCCATTAAAACACTAGGAAATTTTGCAAAAAATTAAAATTAAAAAAAAACAACAAAACTTTGAACTATATGTTACTAGCTTTACCAAAATTTTTTGGAGCAAGTTTTGTCTAGAAAATTTAGTGTCATTTAATTAATTCAAATGTGCAATTTTTTGTTACCAATGCGTCTAAACATGTTATTATCTGAATCCATTAATTTTAAGTGCTGAATTGGGTTACCAAACAAGGCCTAATGCTTAACAATTCAACAACTTAACTTAATGGAATTCAAACTTCAAACTTCAGTTTTCAAATTTTAATTTTATCAAACGCACCTCTCTTTTACCCAAATTCTACCAAACAAAATTTTTCTACGTATTACCACCCTCACAATTCACAAAGTCATTTTAATAATTGAATCTATTAACTAATGTCAGTCGGTTTGGACCGTTGTGTGATATCAAAGGTGAAAAAAAAACCACATGTGTGCACAAAAATAAAACAAAAAAAAAAGGTGTAGATTTTTCTTTTGGAAAAACGGAGAATTGTAGTTTTAGTCTCCATTTTTAGCATATGTGCTAAATTAGTTTCTAATGTTCCGAAAAAAAATAAATTTGGTTCTCAAAGCTTTTGGTAGTAGGTACATTCAACAATGACTAAGGTCAAAATCTAATTACTGTTATTTAACAATTTTGATTTTGTACTTTTGGACCATAATGTTTGAAATTTTAATCATTTCAGTCGCTTAAGTTTTCAATAGTGATATTGAGGGTGTTAGGATAAATAAGATGCGAATTACAAGGCAATTGTCTTAAATGGGTACTTGCATTTCTAATTAAACTTTTTTATTTTTTACTTCATTTATTCATGCCACTAATGTCTCATATACTTCTTCCCTTTGGTATAATTGGTCTCAAATTTGGTTTTATATATGTGATTATTGTTTTATACTATTAGCAATTAACTGATGATTAACCCATAATGACTAAAAGCACTTCATATTAGTATTTATGTTTGCTAGCTTTTATAATTACAATTCCTAACTATAACAATTCAAGGCCTATATGCACAGGTCATTAGCATGAATGATAATAAATTTTATATTAATACTAGAATTTTCCTTTTTTTATTTTATATATTATGTATATATTGTCATTTGATTGTAACTTATTAAGAAAAAAAGCTCTTTAGTTCAGCAACGTTATTATGTTGATATAAAGCGTTTTTATGAAATTTGATAGGAATTTAGGATGACATTTGTCATATCTTTAGTTCAATTCACACCTTAGAATTAATTGGATATATGATTATTGAAAAATTCTTGGTTTTATATACTTTTTATTGAACTGTTACTGGTTCCTATATAGTTTTAATTCTGTGGTTCTGTAGATATTAAATTAGTTTAAAACTTAACAATTATAGTAATTATATTAGGAAATTTAAGGAGTTTTAAGTGAGCTTGAGTTAGTCAAAATTAAACTTATAATCCGAATATTTTGTTAGTCAAGCATGAGTTTCATATTTATCACTTCAAATCTCATAATTCGAAATCCAAAAGTGGTACTAACTATATGAGCCGAATCTGAGTTTGTTAAACCTCACTTTAGATGGCTCAATTGACAGGCCTAAATCCTTCCGTTTTTTTATTTAAATGAAATTAAATTTAAACCTATAGTTTAGTACTTGTATTCTTTTGTACCCAAACTGCCTTTTGACCTTTGAAATAAATTACCGAAAATACTACAAGTTACCTTCACCTTGATTAGAATTATGTCGAGTAATCATGAGAGTCAAGTCACATAATCGATTTTGTTGTCTGGGTTCTATTTTTATTTTTTATTTTTTTATTCTAACTGCAAAAAAGGTTCCTAATCGCAATACTACTATGATTGATCATGGAAGTATATTGTTTGGATTGCATTTTCTGAAAGGGTATATTGTAACACCTTTTTAGATGTGATTTATATGAAGTAAAAAGATCATTGAAAAAATGTATCAAGGGAATATTCCCAAAATATTTGAGATTTTTGTCCAGAGAATGGCAATCCAAAAAAGCCAGTATATTAGCATACTACTACAAATTGACTTCTTTTCTACAAATATATTATTTTTATAACTTAAACTATCCCAAAAATAGATCTCTAATCAAAATATTGAATTGTTATGTTCAAACTTGTAACATATATGCTTCTAATAAAACAAGAAAAAAAATGAAAAAGTTCAATATTTAAAAGGAGGGTAAAATATAAAAAACTCCCCAGTCGTTAAGCTAACCTACAGAAAAGTCTCTTATGATTTCAAATCATAAATTTTGACCTCTCATGGTTTGAACTAATTTGAGATAGTAATGGAAATCGTCAAAACTAGCGGAGGTAGACGAAATGACACAATTACCCTAATGTATATAAGCAATAAAAGACCTTCTAACAACCATCCTATTAAGCAAACTCACGGAAAAGCTCCCTGTGATTAAACCAATCTGTGGAAAAAAACCCCCCATGGTTACATGTAATTTTGATTTATTTATTTTGTGTATAGGAATAGGATAAGCTGTATTTGGTAGTTTCTAGTTATTTATTTATGTATAGAAATAAGATGAGTTTTATTTGAGAATTTTCATTTATTTATTTTATATATAGAAATAAAGATGAGTTATATTGGGAGTTTTTTTGAAAATTTTATGAGTTCTAAGGTGTTTAATAGGTATATCAACTAAAAATTTCAATTTAAAAAATTATTTTTCATGTC